AACGCAGGGGAATTTTAGTTGATCATGTTTAGAAAAGAAAAATAAATGATTGTGTCTGACAATCTGTCACAGGTAAGACCTGTATTAGGATCAGTCTTTCAGAATGAAGATTTTTGGAATGAAATACCCACATATTTAAAGAAGGGGTCTGGTTCTACTTGCAGTACATTAATTGCCCACCTCTGCTTGTCTCTACTATGACCGCAGTACACAATTTTTGTTCTATCATTGCTAACCCTCTGTTTCTCCTTTTCGCAGTTAGGCTACAAGTACGAACCCAGAAAAACCAGGTGGAATACACAGAAGCTTTCATAACTTCACATGGCAGAAGCCCTACTGCAGTTTAAAAACAGTAATCATTGCGAACCACTGTAGGGCTCCTCTATGGTCAGCTGGGGTGAGAAAGCCCTTCCTCCTTTGTGAGGTTTGCTTGTCTGGTGGGTGGCTGAATGACAGTGGCCAGGGAGTGTTGCTTTAGCATCTGGGAGCCCCCACTCCCACTGTCCTGGCCTTCTATCCAGTGGCATAGGGAAGGGAGAATGTGGCATCTATCTTTTGTTTAAATTAGAGGAATTGCATTAAAACAGAGAACATTTGTTTTAAATGGGTTTTGCTCTTAATCCACAGTAAAACCTGGGGTATCAAGAGACAGGTATCTAGTTGTTTCGCGTGTTCCCAGAGGCATCTGGTGGGGCCACTGTGAGATACAGGAAGCTGGACTAGTGGGCCCTTGGCCTGATCCAGTAGGACTCTTCTTGTGTTCCTAACTACTGGATAGCCCCAGGCAAAATAGAATAAAATTGTTCTAACCCAATCATATTTTTCTGCTCAAGAGAAGTGACGTTTTCACGTTCCATCCATTTCTCCATCCATTGCAGCAGTTTAGCCCCTAGCTGAGAATAAGATTCCTCAGGCTTTGTGGTCAGGGAATGAAATTTTCACCTCAGGTGTTCTGGATTGATACCCAAATCTAGAAAATACAGTTTTTCTGTATGCTTCAAAATCTCTAGCCTGCTCCCTCAATTTAAATTCCTGTTCCAGCTTCCATTTCTCAAAATCTGGGCAGCTTAGACCACTTTCTCTCCTTGAGGCACCCTCATGAGTCTCCTCTTCCTCCACAGCTAGAGGAATTCCAGGTTCCAGCTTCCATTTCTCAAAATCTGGGCAGCTTAGACCACTTTCTCTCCTTGAGGCACCCTCATGAGTCTCCTCTTCCTCCACAGCTAGAGGAATTCCAGTTCTCTCCACTTCCTGAGGTAAACTTTGTGCCTCTTTAGGATCAATTACCTCCACAAAATTGGAGGAAGTGTGGAAGATAAAGGATAATTGTGTTCCAAATTGACTATTGCTTTGGGACACATGGATTGGGTCAGTTCATCTCAATATGCAAATCAACTTCTCTCCAATCTTTAGAGTTTTCAAATAGAAAAAGGTTCTAGGACTCTGTGAGGCAATAAATTTCTGAGAGGGGTCTTATGAATTCTGAAAGGATTGAAGAGCCAGTAAATTATCTGCCTACTTATTCACAGAAACCATGGATGCTTCTCCCTTTTCCCTTTCCAGCGAAAATACTAAAAAGGATTTAGCACCCCCCTTTCCCTTAATATTCATTACAGCTGTTCATTCTGAGGCCCAGGTTATAAGCACAAAAGATGGCAGCAAACAGAATTTAACCTCAGCCTCAGCAAAAGACAAATGTCATGTCATCAGCATATAGCAAGACTGAGACTTTGCAGCCGTTGAATGAGTGAGTTTTCTGAGGCCCAGTTTATAAGCACAAAAGATGGCAAAACAGAATTTAACCTCAGCCTCACCAAAAGACAAATGTCATGTCATCGGCATATAGCAAGACTGAGACTATGCAGCCATTGAATGAGTGAGGAAAAAATAAGGCAGAAACAGTGTCATTAAAATAACAATTGAATGAACAGAGAGACAACAAACATCCCCGTTTGACACCTGTACTTAACAAAATGTAGTTGGGTAGAGACCCTTGCCAGCCCATACTCTCCTGAACTGTAAGGGTACAGTACAATTCAATCAGTAACTTTAGAAGCTGTGTCTCAATGTCTGTCTTTTCAGACAATCCAGATTCATCACACAATGGAGACAAAAGCTAAAATATCGGTATATCCAACACAGATATGTTTGCTACAGAGCTAGTATGCTTCTGTGTCTGAGCCTTCAAACTAATGTAGCGATCTATCATTCTGTGACCTGAAGAGAAACATGCCTGCTCCGGGCAAAGAGGTTTTGCCAACTCTGCCCAATCCTTTGATTTGTTTAAGAGATAGCGAGTGTACAGTTTGCAAGGTATGTCCAAAAGATGAATTGGCCAATAGCTAGCAGGCTATTGTCTGTTCTCCTTTTTGTATGTTGGATAAATAATGCTTTTGTTTCCACTTTGAAGGAATCACACAGGTACATATTATCTATTTCAGAGAAAGCCTAACTGCAATTTGGGACCACCAGGAGGCACTGAATTTAAAAAAAGTCAGGCACCTTGGAGAAGATTTCTGTAAGGTCAGTAAACTGATCTATTGTCCACACACTCTAGGTCTGTAATTGAAGGCCACAACAGGACAGAGGACAGAGTAAGAAGTCAGTTTTCATGTAGTGTCTCACTCTGAATGTTCTCTTAAGGAGAAGTGGTGGAATCACATCTCACTTGTGAGATTCTGGGATAAAATTACCAGCTTGTGTGTTCGTTGCTACCAATTCCCAGAACGTCCCATCTTCTAAAATATTTCTATAGAAGAACTCGGTTCTATCCACTAATCTTTATTATTAAAAACATTTTTCCAACCTTCAAAAGCTGTCTTGAGAAACCATTACAAAATGTATTTTTGGAGTATTTTAAAAAGCAAAGTTCTAGAGATCTAACGGCTAATTTTTCCATCTCTTGTCTATTTTGGCTTTAAATCCCTTGCCTATTCATGCTGTGTGATACAGAGGGGTCTTGACTTAAGAACGGCATGAGTTAAAAACATTTTGACTTAAGAACCACTCTCATAGGAAAATATTGACTTGACTTACATACAGAACATTTTTCCAACCTTCAAAAACTGTCCTGAAAAACCATTACAAAATGTATTTTTGGAGTATTTTTAAAAGCAAAGTTCTAGAGATCTAACGGCTAATTTTTGCATCTCTTGTCTATTTTGGCCTTAAATCCCTTGCCCATTCATGCTGTGTAATATTTGCTCCACTGGAGAAACAAATACTTCTGCCACTCTCACCCCCATCTCCAATTCCAGTGGGGTCCACATTAGGAGCAAGTGACAGGAAGAACAATGTGTGGTGCCATCTGTGCCTATGTGATAGTAGCCACTCATCCATTAGGGAAGTGGTGTGGCACCCTGTCTTTGGCTAAGGCTAACCCCAGCTCTCCCATTCCTGCTTTCCTTTTTACAAAAGGCAGGTGTTTGTGTGAACTATGGGATGCTCACCTTCTTTTGTTCTTCACACTGTTTTTGTGTGATTCTACCTGAATGTAGGAACACCCACTTTTGCTCCTGGCTCTGCCTGCCACTAATTGCCATATCTTCGCCCCACCAGCTGCCACCGTGTTGAAAAACAACCCCCAAGCCAGCACTGTCTCTCTCCAAACCAATCTGAAGTCCCTGTGCCTACCTCAACTTCTCTGTGGCTGCTCTAAATAGCAAATACGGGGAGAGCTGATCACACACCTTCTGCATCACATGCACAGCTTTCCCAAGCCAGTGCCTTCCAGGTAGATTGGATAGCAATTCCCATCAATCCCAGCCAGCAGGGATGTTGTAGTCCAATATATCTGGGAAATACCAGCTTGGGAAAAGCTAAGCTATGGTTTGGCTCTCAAAGTCATTTTTCAATATCCCAAACAAGGACAGCAAACAAGTCCCTTTTATTAAGAACAACTAGAGCTCACAATACACATGATATGGAATGTTTTCAATTTACATCAAACTCTTCCTTTGTCTGATTTTGTTTTGTTAAAGCAATAAATGTTTAGCAAGTTTCTGGGAGAAAGCATGAAGTGAAGGTGTCTTTACCTGCTGTTTTCTTTATTATTTGGGGCTACCAGATTTTAGTAACAACTTAAGAGATGGGCATGAATCAGATTAATTTTGTTGACTTTTGTTGATGAATCACAAATTTACATTTTTTTTTCTTGATGAATCAATGAATCAATTTATCAATTTGTTGTGTTTTTTTAACTTTAAAATGCTATAAAACAACCCCTCAAGCACCTACAGACACAAGGATCACAGAAAAGCCTCTCTTCTACAAGCCCTGCATGTTTGGTGAAGTTTGGGTTTTGGATTTCCCAGTTATATACACCCACAAGGAGGCCCTCCCCAGGAAAGTTCCCCCCAGGCACCTAGAGACACCAAATTATGTTCATAAAATTATACAGCTTCTCATGGAGTGAATAGAGGAAAAGGAACATTCATCAGAGGGGCAGGGCTGTCTTTGAATTCAGAGCCAGAAGGGAATGGCAATCACCCCAGCCCATAAAATTCCCTCCCAGACACTCAAACTGCAGGCGCCATGCTCAAACACAAACAGAAAGCCCTCCTCACCAACGTGAAAAAGCATTTTTGGACTACAACGCCCAGAATCCTAGGCTATTTGGAGAGCTATGGTGCAATAAATTGCCTTTTCCAAGCTCTCCACCAACGAAGAGTTTGACACAGAATAAGAGGTCTAATTTATAATAATAGAAAAATAAGGGGGCAAATTTAACTCCTAATCTTGCAAAGCCTTGGAATTAAGAGCCAGAGAGCTCAAAGAAAAAATTCTATATATGCATATTTATAATATATTGTTACGTATGGCAATCTATGTGTTCCATTATATGGAAACTGTATTACACCTTGCTTTATTGTGCAAACAACCTTTGGTGCCTCTATAAGGCAGTTTACAAACTGAACCAAAAAGAAAGAAAAAAAAGATCCACCTCTAGGCAGGGCAGGCATGTTTGAACACAGATCTCTAAGCAACCACCCTGACTCCTTTCCTGCTTCTTGTGTCTTCTACCAAGCAGCTGGGCTTTTGCTATGGATCCTGGGGGCCAAGGCACGGTTTCCCCAGGAGTCCACTTTATTCAGCAACCAGTAAGTTATTCTTGTGAGCTGGGGCATTAAGAGGGGGGAGGGGCCGATAAGCCTGGTGGGAGCAGCAGCGAGAAGAATGCTCTCGATCTGAGGTGGCCTCTTTACTCCACCTCTCCCTGAAAGCACTAACTTCAGGATAATCTACTGGGGATTTTTTAAAAAGTCCTGATTATGTCATTGCTAAATTGACTGACAGTCCCGCCATCCCAAAAGGAGTAATAATGTAAAGACAAGGAGAACACAATGGTGGCAACAGGACTGGGGCCTCTCCAGCTGTACCAGTGGCCTTATGATAAATAAATAAATGCAAATATTGCAGAATTACCGTAATAAAATTGGAGAAGACTGTTCAGGATCATGCCCAGGCCTCCTCCCTTTGCAACTGGTACTTTTTTGGTGGAAAGGTGCAGTATGAATTAGATGGGTAGGCAGATATCTATTCTTTGTAGCAGAGTTTGTAGACTGCTGGTTTAGAGGATTTACTTTGCTGTTGTTTCCTTCATCCCTCTGAGATCCATTAATTTTTCTAGCATGGTACCTAGAAAATTTGTTCTCAGTGCCTGACCTGAGCTAACAGGATGATCATCTAAGAACCCACTCACCCCACCCCATCCCCATTCTCTCTGTAATTTTATCTCTCCTTTCTAATTTAGAGAGTACAGTATTCAGGTTTTATGTCCTTACTGTCAAACAGTTGGGAGCTATAAACCCTTGCCTAACCTGTTGCAAACCACTCAAGAGAGCTGTCTATCAAAATATCTAGGCTCCACCCTATGTCAAACGATAAACCAATGTCCAATTTAAAATGACTCAAATTGGCTCCAGACAAGTTAACAGAATGCAGTGTGTCGGAGCGTTTTGTCATTTGCCTCACTGACTCTTTCTACCTCAAGTATGCGTAGGGAACCCTTGGCCTTCCAGAAGATTCTGGATTTCAGGTCCCCAAAGTTAAAAGGATCACACCAACCCCACTGTAATTTATTTGTGAACATTTATTTATTTATGAAATTTATACCCCACCTGTCTAGTGGCAAACCAGTATTCTGGGCAGCTAAAAAAAAATGAAAATAAACAAAAGACAGAGGATAAATGGATTCTAGCTACAAACAAGTCTGCTTGCCAGTCCCCCCCCCACCTTGATTCCTGTGCAGACAGCTAAAGCAAATTCAACTGGGGACACCTTGCATTTTTTCTGCTGTGCAGTCACACAGTTAGGTATCTGGCTGGTAAGCAAAGGGTCACCGTAATTTCTTGGTGGCATGTAATTATATTTATATATATTACTGGAAATTTAGGCACTCATTACATTTTAACCACTGCGCCACAAGGCTCTTTACATTACACTACAACTGGGATAATTCAGAACCATATATTACTTCTGGTGAAATCCATTTCTCCCCTATTTGATGTGAGACTAGCAACCAAGCTGGGAGGATACAGGGGAGCCTGAGGGAAGCAGTGGGGGACAGACGATCTTTTAAAACCAAGAAGTCTTGACAGTTTGACTCTGTGAACTCTACTTCACCACCACTGCCAGCAGCCCCTGGCCCAAGGAAAAAATAGCTGTCCTAAAATGGAGATGGATGCATTTCACTTCACCTACTTCTTTGTCTCAGATTGCTCAACAGCCAGAGGTGACAATTCTCCAGCAGTTGCCATGGATGCCGCAGGCTCTTCCTCCAGCCAGCAGGAAGAAGCAAATCAAAAAAGGTAGGAAGTTCAGCAAGTGAATGAAAATCATGCCTACAGTTATCCAGACTGAAATTCTGCACTGAAAGTTCCAGATGGAGATGGATGTGGCTCAGTGTAGATCTGTAACATTCCACAATCAGGCTGCATTCCAGAATATTGGGAGGGGGGGGGAGACAAGGGATAGAACACCCCTCCACCCTTAATTTGCACATTATATATTGCCTGATGTTTCAACATATGGTTGAGTTTTAACAGTCAAAGATCCATTGGCAGCACTTCCTCCCTATTTGAATAGAAATAAAAATTCAGGGCAGCCTAAAACTCACTTGCATCACTTTATTAATAGCTGACAGTTGTCTCCACAGATAAGAAAGCAGAGAAGGGGATGCATTTGTAACCATTTGCTCAGCTGCAGGAACATCTGCCTGCATAAACCCAGCATCTAGGAACAACATGAATCAGTCTGATGGATTCAACTAGACAAGTAATTCAGGTCCCTCCTTTACTGTGTGGTGGCTGTGGCAAGTTAGCCCAGCAGACTGACACTCATTGTTTCCCCTTATACATGCCTATCACTTTGCGGCTGAGCATGTGTCCTCCTGCATAGAAAACGGTCTTTTATTTGAAGGCATTGCTTTGTTTGAAAGGCTGTCCAATCCACACCCAGTGGAAAGACGGAAAGTAGCAAAGGCCTTGATTTAGATGATCAGAATTAATACCTGTACAGAAAAAGTGAAACAAAGCTGGAGGACACATTGGTTATGCCATCATCCTGCCCATTCACTGAATTTTATAGGGGCTTCAGATATTGTTTTACAAGGGCTTTGGATATTGTTCTTCTCTGCTCATAATTGCTCTTTTCTGTCAGTTGTTCTGTCTTTTCTCTTCCTGTGGGAAGATCTTTAAGAATAAAAACATGGAGGAACTGCATGGTGCCTTTCTGACTATCAGCATGAGGAGCCTTCTCTAAGGAAATACCTTTACCAGGCTCACAGATGGCTTGATAACAGCCTTTCCCATTGTAACCAGGATGAATTACATTTCTTTTTCAAGTACAGTAATTATTTCTGAATGTGCAGCCATGCTTATAAATCAGTATACATGAAACTTGCCTTTCTGTTTTGGGGATGTGAAAGTGTCATTTTTTTGTAGGGAAAAAAAGGATCTTTGGACAGTATACATGAAACTTGCCTTTCTGTTTTTGGAATGTGAAAGTGTCATTTTTTGTAGGGAAAAAAAGGATCTGACAAATGCAGGGAAATGAAATGACCAAGACCCACTTGTGGTGCATCTTCTTTCATGTTCAAATGCTGCTAGCCTCTGCTTGCAATATTCGGATGTCTCGCTGAAATCAAGGGGCTCCATTCTTAATAGGCATGCCTTAGATATGAGATGCATGCGTTAGACCTGGCACCCTTGAGAACCTGTATGAGATGGTGCCTAACCCAGGTTCCCACCAAGAACAGACAAATCTGTCAGATTCACTTGCTTCCACATTTGCTTCTTTAAAAACCCCAAATTACTTTTGTCTAATTTGTGGGGAAATTAGTCATGCTGGGCAGTTCTTATGTAAAATGAACAAAATGAAAATCTCAGCCATACATATATCATCACCACTGGATCATTGCTGGTGAGTTCTGATCCCAGTGGTAGTGATCAGCTGCATTTTTAAAAATAAACTATTAAAGCCCCCGCCGCCACCACCCAGCATGCCAAGGCTCCCAAAGCAAGAAGGCAAGAGGGAGCCCTAAGAGCCTCAGAACCTAAAATGGGGGTGAGGGTGGCGATAGGAAGCTCTCCATGAGGTTAAATTAAATGTTTCCAAAGCCTGATCCTGGTTATTCCAGCATAAAATTACATAACAGGATTCAGTCGTTGTTAAGCGCTCTGCTTAGATGGACAATTCTGTCAGTTTTGCTTTTCTCATACATTTAGGTTTTGAATGTCAACCTTTTTCGATAAAAATTATTCTAAAAATCTGAAAATGTTGAGAGGGTTTTATTAAAGAAAACCAAACCAAACACATATCCACAATTCCTATGTGCCAGAATGACCTAGAATGAAACTGTCAAGAACACTGGAGAAATTTAAAATGGCAGCTGAGATGACCCAGTCACATGCTACTGATCACAGCACTGCAGCAGGTATTGGTATCTACTGCTCAGAGCATCACCAGATGAGTCTCTTAGGCCACATTGGCACTTGCTTCTCTTTCAACATACATCTGTACACATTTTACTCATCACTAGTGACATTACAGATATTGGCCAATAGGTACTACGTACTACATTGTGCACGAGACACTGTTGAAACCACATTCCAACAATAGTGTTGCTACTCTTATTGTTACAATATCTGCCATTCATTCTCCAGTGGCAGTGTATTGTGATTTAGGTAAGGTTTCCATACAAAAGAGTTGCTGTCCTAGGACTTTGATATTTCCCACTCTGAGAAATGACTAACTTCTTTCATGTCAAAACATTCTAAGGAAAATCCCTCACAGTAAAGGTATCTCTACTATGTGTCCAATAGCAGTGAATCTGATTGTTCATATTTGTTGTGTGTGTTATGTGAGTAGCTGTAGCCATACTCTGTTGTTGAATGAATGCACCAGCAGGAGGAGGTTAGTCCCAGTTCCTTCTGCCACTATTTCTACCATGTGATCCTGTTTCAAGTCTTTGATCCTTAGACCACAAAGAGACCTTCAGTTGAAGCCAGATAGATCCATCTGTCTTGGGATCTCAGCTTTCTGAGGAAGGAGGTTTCTTCTGCCCCTGGAGGTTTTCCATGCAGTCTGGAACCAAATTTAAATATTGACCCATTGGTTCATTAAGTGGAATGGTCTAAACTGTGGCAGTGAATTACCACTAGTTAAGAAGGCACCACGTCTATCCTTCCTAGCATGTCAATCAGAAGTTATGGGGCAATGAGGTAAGGAAGCAGTACCTCATTAATGAAATGCCATTTACACCACTGCTGTGTGTTGGAAGATCATATTTTAATGACAATGACTGAGATGTCCTTCCTGTTTTATAGGATTCTGTCTAAGGCTATGATAGGGCTTATTATATTCGGACCATTGATATCATCTTCCACTGGATTTGCTCACTGCCTGCCACCAGCTAGCTTTTCAACTGGCTTCTGAACTTCAAAGCTTCTGCATTTCCTCTCTGTGTAGTATAATCCATTAATCTTATTATGCTCTTACTTCCTGTCAGATTTAATGGAGCTGATGATGATACAAAATGCACAGATGTACCAGGTAGTCATGAACAACCTGGCCATGACGGCAATGGCACACTTTGAACAGAGCCCTGCACAGGTAGATAACGAGAACTGAACTGTTATGTATACACCCTTAGTCATGCCCCATTAAAATAAGCTTTAAATATGAATCAACGGAAGCATTTAAGGGACAGTACTACTTAAAATTATTTGAGAAATTGATTATGAACATGACCCAGCTGAATGGAAGCAGAAGAGACAAGAACATGTTTCACTTTCTTTCAATGAAACTAATTACCTTAGGAACTTTTAACGGGCTGGATCGTGCTCCCTTTTCTTTGAAATTAGTCCTTCAAACTGAATCTCAAGAACCAAATAGGAAAGAAACATTTTTTTTCAAATTCTAAAACTGCAATTTAGAAGGTGAAATATTAATGTGGATTATTGAATATGTGTGATTTCTTCCCCACACCCCTTCATCATTGGTTAACCAACAGAAGCATAAACCATAACACGTCTGCTGCTATCTTGTATTGCATTTACACTACAGATTCAGCCTGAAATTAAACATGATACAGGTTACAGAGTTAATGTGAAAAACAGAAATCCTCATCTTAGTTTTCCTGCCCTCTTGTTATTTCTTCTCTCTGACTGGTAGGGGCCAGCAGGCAAACAGGCAGGTAAAGAAATGTGGGCTGTGATATCACACAACATATTTCCTTAACTATACCTGAGGAGACAGGAAGAAGGTAACTGAGGAAAGTTGGGATGGCTTGCCATCTTTATTTTTTATTTATTTATTTATTGTCATTGTAAGTATATACACTGTACTGTATACCCATACAATGAAATTCACAGACATCCAGAGACCAGACACATGCACACACATAAAATTCCCCAAACACTCCCCACCCACTAAAAAAAAAAGTTGGGGAAGTTGGAATGGCTTGCCATCTTTAGCAGCAATATTATGAATTTCAGCTTTATCAGATTACAGGGAGATGGGTTGTGCAGTCTGGCTGTTCTTCTGAAACTGGCAAAACATTTTCAGGCTAAGCATCATTGTCATCCTCATCATCTTAGAACTGCAGTGCTGGATATATGAAAGGGGGCAGGAACACATACATACAAAGCACTGACACACTATGAGAAACATCCTCAGCAGTTAAATGTGGGCGGAGAAACTATGGACCTTCAGTTGTGCTGGGACTCCAACTTCCACCACCCCCAGCCAGCATCTCCTGTTGTTGCATATGATGGGAGTTGTAGTCTGCTGCCTGGATGGGCACAATTTCCCTACCTCTTCTCTATTGAACTGCATGAATATTAAGCATATTGTTATTTTGGTTAAAATTAATGATGTTATGATACTCTTCTAGAAGCTTAACAGAGAAAATGAATTAACTCTTTCTTCCTCCTTTCCTTCATGAATTACCATCTGCCTTGCATCTAGACCAGTGGTTCTTAACCTTTGTTACTCGGATGTTTTTGAACTGCAACTCCCAGAAACCCCAGCCAGCACAGTTGGTGGTGAAGGCTTCTGGGAGTTGCAGTCCAAAACTCCTGAGTAACCCAAGGTTAAGAACCAGTGATCTAGACATAGCTCTACTGCAAGCTAGAGTCAGAGGGAGGGACTTGGGACCGTATTGTACATGATGTACAGTTCTGTGATTCTTTATTATGGCACTATTTTTAATTAAACCCAAAGAGCTATAAGAGATGGAACTTGAAAACAGAGGAGCAACTGAGGGAAAGGTCATCTAACCTTATTTTGCCATAGCTTGCCTGCTCAAACAGTGGAGCAGTAAGGTCATTCTAGATTTAACAGTTTTAAAGGGATTGTGCCTCTTTAGGTGTTAAAATGTATTACCTTAGCTCCTTCAAAATGCAATAAGCCAGACAGGTTGCATTTGGGGGCCCTCCTGCCCAAAAGTTCTCACCTGATGGCACCCTAGTGTTCAAAGTCCCGTACAGTATTTCTCTTTCAGAGAAGAAAACATCGTGGGGGGAGGTGAGGGTAGAGGGGCAAATAGGAGGATAGATTTTGTTGTTTAATTTCTCAAGATTCTCATTTTCTGTTCCTTGCAGGCCTCCAATGTCCTTTGGCACATAGAGGAAGACGAAGAGAATAGCCCCACACCCTTTGTATTCCACCACCATTATGTCCCTTATCCAAGCACTGTTCCAGTCATGGCATGGCAGCCCCCTTTTCAACCACCAGCTTGGCCCCGACAACAACCAGTCATCCGCCACGTGGGCCCGTCCATTCAGACAAGAAGGGGACCCGATGGGTAAGGGTAGCTGGGGGGGGGAACAAAAACACCATGAACTACAGGGGAAGGCAGAGGGGATAGTTTTCCTTAGATGTTTGAACACATCATGCTAACAGAATCCGTGAGACAGTAGCAGCTCATCTTAAGGGAACATCTATATCAGTGGTTCTTAACCTTTGTTACTCAGGTGTTTTTGAACTGCAACTCCCAGAAACCCCAGCCAGCAGAGCTGATGGTGAAGGCTTCTGGGAGTTGCAGTCCAAAAACATCTGAGTAAGAAAGGTTAAGAACCAGCGATCTATATCACCTTTTCCCCAGGTTTATTAATTTTTACTAGGAGTAGAAAGAGAAAATCAAGTATATTCTCTACTATCTTATATACCTACATCTATCTCATACTGTCTATTCTTCTTTCCCGATGACTATTTGTCATTTAAGTTCTTAACACATAAGACTGCATTACACCCTTCTCTTCTCCCCTCTTTTCTCCCTCTTCCATCTCACAGCCACTTCTTCCTGCATACTTGGACCACCCATCACCTCATTTGATTTTCTTTTTTTCCCCATTTCCACTCTGTTCCTCCAGCTCTGAACTGGATCTATTATCTTGATTCATTTGCAATATTTAAATCTCTTTTTGATGTCCCTAGTTTCTCCAAAGCTTCTTCACATAAAGTCCTCTTGAGCTCCATCTGCTGGTACAGTTTTTCTCTTTTTTCTCTATTTGCCCTTTCCATTCAGGTATTCTGCTGGGGACTCTTTGAAGACAAATCTATTTTTAGTTCCTTCAATTCCACCAAAATTTGAAGAAAAAAATTTTTTTTCTGTAGATGATTCATTCTCAGGAGATTTCCATCTTGCATCCAATTTCCTGGGCTTGCTGGATTCTCTGCAATCTACGATCAGATGTATCTGTGAAGATTCTCAGTCATCCAGGTGAGGTTATCTGGAAGTTGAGTCATGGCAACTAGACTTCTTTCTTGTTTGGTTGAAATGTTTCACTACTCAGCCAAGCAGCTTCTTCAGTCTTCTGTGATCAGATGGTTCGGCATCAATTAAACAGTTTCAATAACTTGTAAATCCCTTCTGTATTTTCCAATGTCTTTTTATTTAAGCTTTGAAAAAGAGAGTTCCTTTAGATATCTTTAATTTCCTTAATTTCTGCATTTGCTATCTTTAGAGGCTCCAATTTTCTTTACATCCAGCAGAGGGAGGATTTATCCCTACTGCTCCCCTCTATCATCCGGAGAAACCGGATTATTATTCAGAGTTCAACCATTCCTTTCCTTCCGCTTTGCCTTCCTAAGCTTATCTTTAAATCTCTGAATTGCCAAAATGGGTTCTTTTTAACAATATAATATTTACAAAGCTCTCAGCTCTCTCTTTCTGCCCTTTAAGTACTTCAATTCTTCTAACCAGTCTTTTCACAACTTTTAACAACTCCTTATGCCTTACTGTGGGAGGAAGGGATCTGTTCTAAGTAATTTTCTCTTTGTAGCTCTTTATTTGCTCCAAACAGTCTTCACAAGAATGCTCTGCTCTCTTTACAATTATTGATTACTTTATTAGGGCTGATAATTTTTCAGCCTGTTTCTTCACTACAGCAACGAAGCATTCCGTCATCAGTTGGCTAAAGATTTATAGTCATAGCAACTTTTCTTATATCATTCCTTTAGTAAAGTCCCGAGTGGTATTTTCCTCTTTAGTACTCATAAGAGAACAGCTCTGTCTTTTTTCTTATCTGTGTGCCACTTTTACTCTATATTTTTAATGAAGGCTTTGGAGAGAAAAGAATTACTGTCCATCTGTCACGTCTGTTAAGCTCTGCTCCTGCCCTGATTAGTTCATGTTAGTTCATGAATTTAACCTGAGACTATAAGGGGAGGGGCGAGGAAATCTTGTTTATTTCCATGCTAGTCTTTTTTGTTATTGAGCAATCCCTGTGGTGGCAATAGGTTCATAAGTTTTCAGATGTAAACTTTTCCATCTGCTTACTAATAAAGATTGAAATCATGCCTCTTCTTCTTCTTTTTCAAATGGAAATTCTACTTCCAAATCAGTGGAAGTGGCGTATATTGTGAATATTTATGGAAAAAAACGATCCAAGTATTTGGCATGGCTGGCTGAATGCTTAAGAGAAGGCTAATGGAGATCAGTGGTGAGATCCCATGCTTTAGATCAGACAGCCTTTCCCAACATGGAGTCCACCATCCCCAGCCAGTAATTCTATTATGGGATTTGCCAAAACTATCAAATTGAGGCAGGTAACTTTAAACAATAGAACACTTTTGAAGGTGTCAGCAACAATTGAACTCCCAGTGGGTCAATGATAATAACACATTCCTTATTCTCTGTAAATCCCACTTTTTATTCCAAAATCAATAATGAATTAATTAAAACTTAAGGGGACTGCAGTGATTTCATTTACACAGACTCAAGAGCAGGGAATTAATCTCCCAGTTTATGCTGAGTAACATTTAAAACAACAGAATATGGAGAAACAGAATGGTGTCTAACTAGCAAAAACACAGACAAGGCAGTGTTTTTACTCTCCTACCTGTAAAATCTATACGCAGAACATATTGTACATACATAAAACTGGATCCAGATAAAGAAGCGAACATTGGTGGAAGAAACACCAATAAAAATATGATGGTTACATTATATTACTGGCACTAAGAAGAAATGACTTGAAACTAGTACTGAGGAAGATTAAAGAAAGTGTGAAAGCAGGATTACAGTATTACATTGACTACAGAAGGTTGACAATGAATATATCAAAACAGTTAAAGGTTAGTTGTACCCTGTATTAATCTTCAATTCAAATGGAGACTGCTGCCAAGAAATCAGAAGAAGATTGTGACTGGGTTGCTATGAAGCAACTAAGATCCTTAAGAGTAAGACTGGCGACTAAGACCATCCACACTATAGTATTCCTGACTGTGATGTAAGGATATGAACGCTGCACAGCGAAGAAAGCTGATAGGAAAAATTATTCCTTGGCATATGCTGTGGGCTATACAGATGTCACTGGCCATTACAAAGACAAGTAAGTGGGTGATAAGTCAATCTGGAAATCCTCTGAGAGAGGAGGACCTCAGGAAAAGAAGAGGAAGACCTAACATGAGATAGATTGTCCCCAGAAAGAAAAAGAAAAAAACCAAAAACAGTCTTTAGTTTTCAAGACCTGAGCAAGGCTGTTAATGATGGGACATTCTGGAGGCCCCTAATTCATAGGGTTACCATAGATCGGAAGTAACTTGATGTCACAAAATTAACAAATCAATGTTCTGCCTTAAGAAGGCGGAGAGATTTGTGTGTGGGTGTATGTGTGTGTGGGTGTGTGTGTGTGTGTGTGTGTGTGTGTGTGTGTGAGAGAGAGAGAGAGAGAGAGAGAGAGAGAGAGCAATTCCATGGGGAACAAAATGAAATTAAGGACTGTGTCTACTTTTAGGAGCCTTCTCAGCTCTTAAGATCTTTAAGGGAGGCCCTTCTGTTAGTCTCACCACCTTCGTAGGTACCTCAGATGGGAACATGAGAGAGGGCCTTCTCCGTAGCTGCTCAGAGGCTGTAGAACGCCCTCCCCTGGAAGGGCTAAACTGACCACCACCCTCTTCCCCTTCCAGCCTTCCAGGCATTTAACAACTAATTAGGCAATTTTTATGTCATGTGCTGGATGCTGTTATAATTTATGTGTGTTAATGTGATCTATGGGTTTTTAACAGTTTTAAGTAATTGTTTTAATATTGCTGTATGTTTAATTGTTTTTTAGTTGTAGAATATATTGTGGGTTTAGTCCGTTCATTTTTAATAACTTGTGAGCTACCTAGGATCCCTTAAGTGGCAGAAAAGTGGCCCACAAATGGAAATAAATAAATAAATGGTTGTGCAGATCAGCCATAGTTGGGATGGATCACCATAAACGGGAATGCTGTGCTTTTTTGCTTGAATTAAATCTCCGATCCTAATGTTCGAAATTTTTCATCAAACACCAGCAGCTCCTGTCATCAGAATAAGGTTGCAGTCGTGAGTGCCTATCTATCTTGTATAATGTATTATCTTTCTTCATGTCCAGGAGTAGAAATATTGGCCAAAATCTCTTGCTTAGCATAGTAAATCACACTAGAATAAGCCCACTAAATCAATGGGGATTTGGTGATTCAACTTTTCCTAATTTCCATTAATTCAAATGGAAAGTTTAACTGACCTAACTACGCTAAAGTAACAGTGAGAGTAGCCCCATTTGAAAAAATTACACTTATGGGGGAGTTGATTCACCAAATCCTCATTGATTCAACAGGTCTACCCTAATGTGCTTTACTATGCTAAGCAACAGGATTTTGCCCTGTGTGAGAGTAGTAGTAGTGTCTCAGCAGATGACTCCTTAAACCTTCGCCCTGTGGCTTGGAACATTTCACCTGATACTGTAGGTACTGGCTGAACTTATTTATGCTGCATTTATATACAAGTGCTCCTCGATTAACATGCACCCCGTTTAACGATGAAATTGCATACCGACGAACTTTTTGTGATCGCTTTTGCGATTGCATTGCGATGTTTTAAATGGGGAAAAATCACTTTGCAATGATTGGTACCCTGTTTTGCTTACCGATTATCGCAAAGTGATGATTTTTCTAACAGCTGATTGGCGGTTCCAAAATGGCCGCTGGGGAAAAAAATGGCCGCCCGCTGTGTTTTCGCACGGATTCCTCGCTTACCGGGCATCAAAAATAGCTGCCGTATGGAGGATTTCCGCTTTAAGGTGAGTTTTAAGCCCATAGGAACAAATTAAACATGTTTTAATGCATTCCTGTGGGCTTTTTAAAATAGCATAGCGACGAAATCGCTTTGCAGCAATTTTTGCTGCACCAATTAACGTCGCTATGCGAGGCACCACTGTATTTATTTCTTACACTTATAGTAAGTAACTGGATTTTGCAAAAGAAATATGAAAGCTTCTTTGGGGGAATGTGTAATTCTGTGTCATGTAAAGCAGATTCCTTTACTTGCATTATAACAAGCACAGAAAATCACTGGTGGAGTCTTCTCCCCCAACCTGTCCCCCTTTTTAGTAACACTTCTTCTTGTTTACTTTCCCCAATAGTCAAGCGGTTCCTCCACCCCCTCCACCAAGTGCCACAGGAACTGTAACAGCTGATGTCCCACCAGCTTCAGGTAAGGGTGAAGAATACAGCCTCGAAGTGGGTCTTTCCTAGCGTCTACTTCCTAGGATAACTACCATTCCTACCCAAGCTTCCTCTCAGGATAGCTTTTCAGAGGTGCATTGTTGCTGCCAGCCTTGTCTTGGCATGACAACACCTTTGCCAGCTACCCCAATCCTCTACAATACCTTCCATCCTTTTTATTTGTTAAGTTACTGTCCACTTGTACCTATTGCCTAATGTTCTTATCTCTTTGCCACTGCCTGTTGGGAAGGGACAAGGAAGCATTACAGAATTTAGCTTCTCTTGACTGGGGGAGCATTGGAGATGCATGCTATTCTCAGATTTGTTTTATTTACAAATATAAAGAGAGCTTTGGGGAAGCAAACAGGCACATTACACGAACATTCTCCACATTACAAATCATGAAGGACCAATTGTTTTGTTTCAGAGCATGTCTGGACATGCAGCTCACCAGTTGGATCTCTCTTGGTGCTGTTTGATTTTAATAAAATTACAGTGTCCACATGTATTTTGACCTTTTTTAGAGCCATCCACCTCTTTTTTGGCACAGTGCTAGGGCTACAGCTTTTGGGGCATGATTTGGAGTGCTCCTAATTATCCCGTTCTGTAGTCCATGTGGATGGTTACTTTGCACCAAAATACAGCTGTGGATGGTTTTATCTGAGTTGACAACCCTGTGATGCATTTGGTGGGTTGTGGCATTGAAATGGATGATGGAGAACCCCACTTCTCTATTTTCATCTAGTCTACCATTTTAGATTTTTAAAAAATATATCTTCCTATTGATGCAGTGCTATTCTAGATAAATGAGATATATTGGTGGTATTATGTGTTCCATGATAGGTAGACACTGTTGTGCTATGTCATTTACTTTATTTAACAACAAAAAGGAAGTCACCACAGCCCAAACAATGAACATAGGAAATGGCATGGAAGGGGGTGGGGAGGGGAGTATAATTAATTAAAAGTCCCCTTCCATTAATTGGAGCAGTCTAAAGAACTGTCTGTTCTGGACCCTTCTCATAGGAGAAAAAAGATCAGTCAATATGAATGGAAGAATTAATCAAGTGTAAGATAAAATAGATCTTTAAAAGTAACATTTTAAGCATGAACCAGACCACTCCAACTTCCTCTGTCTGGATATGTCCTTAGTCTCTGTCCATGTATTCACAATATCACTGATACCGTTATACTCCGTGTTTTGCTGCACTAGAGCGACTAACAGAACCAGTTTGTTCTTCTAGAGTACTATGACTTCAGCGAAGGTCAATTATGAGGTGAAAATCTCACCTGTTCACCCTCCAATATTCATCCAGCATGGCTATCTGGAACTTCTCCTGCCATCCCTTCAAGCATTCATCCAGCATGGCTATCTGGAACTTCTGCCATCCCTTCAAGTACCAGATGTTGATTAAGCAGACTTGGAGCTTGGCCTGACATGAATAATTCCGTGCAAATAGCTCCCTGACATTGGATCAAGACCTTCAAAGAGTTGCCTTTGTGTATATGTATGTTATGAGAACCAGAAATATACAGTACTTTATTATGTATTTTGGGGGAGGAGTAAACCTAATCCTCTGTAAATGAGAGTTTATTCGCCTTCTTTTTGAACGGAACAGAATATTCATAGCTACTGATTGCCCTTGACTTCTAATTTTGATAATACTCTTGCTCTCACAAAAACAACAGGTCTCCTTAAATGTGACACTAGTGTGGTGTAGCGATATACTGTATATATAAGTGTATGATGATGATGCTGCTCTTGCAATCCATGCTGGATTGAGCCCACTGTAGTTCTAGAGACCAGACTACACAATGAAAATCAAAAGGAGGATATTACGTTACAAACAGATAAGTAATGCAGAAAACATCTGACTACAAGAGGCCATCTAGAAACCAGCAGGAAACAGGAAAAGACTTTATACCCACATTCTTTTCTCTAAAACAGAAACGGCCCTCCTGGCAAGATTGATTGATTGATTGATCTGGATGCTAGTGTATTTAATTAACATTTTGCACACAGACCCATCAGTAAGTGGACGAGTTGCCCAGATAGGCGGGGTATAAATCAAATAAATACTGTAAATAAATAAATAAGTGGAAGAAACTCTACGTCCATCTTGTCTGTTGCATCCCTTTGCATCCTCCCTACAACATGCTTGGGAAATATAGAGGGAACGAAATGGAAGTGAGGTTTCTCCACTCCATGTTGCAGCTCCATGGGATTCCAGTCCCTGAATCCTTCAGAAGCCAGTTGTCTATGAACAGCAGCTAAATGAGGAAGCGGAGCTGATTGCCTGCTTTGACTAATTTTTAAAATCAGGCAAAAATGCAGCTAAAACAACAACAGGCAGTGTGGAAGTGTCTGGCCTGGTTTGTAGGTGGATCCTGCCTTGATAATTTTGGTGATCGTGAATAGACAGAGGCAGAGTGGCCTTCTTCAGTGGCCTTACCATAGGTTGTGTGTTCTACAGCTGGCTGAAAGGAACATTCCAGAATGTGGTGTTTCTGCTGTATTTCATGTCATAGTCTGTACTATGGATTCAGGGGAGGTGAAATATGTATTACAGACTTACGGTAAAAGAGACTAGGAAAAAGTTTAAGTGGCACCTACGTGGCAGGCTGGTTTTGCCATGTTTAGAGGGAGCCCTTGCTGGGACGGTTTGGCAATGATCAGAAGGAATCCTGGCACTCCAGAAGCCTCCCTCACCCTTTCAAAAATGTTTAATCATTCTTTTAAAAATATTTATATCATAAGAGAGCTCAAGGGGGAGTTTTAACTGGAGAAACTGTTAAATCCATTTTCCAGGTTAAAAAAAGCCGATTGCAGCAACATACACTATCATTCTACTTAAAAATTAATATGCAAATTAGTCCTTTAAGAGTTTTGACTCGTTGGGATGCCAACAGATCTGACAAATGGCCTTCAATTCCCACTGAGATCACCAACCATGCTCTACGGGAAAACACCGGGAGCATCCATACGCCAGATGTCACTGGATTTATCATAAGCAATTTTCTCTGTGCAGAAATCTGCAGTACAGTATTCTCACCCGCTGACTCAATTACAAGTCTCAGACTTCTTTGCAGAATGCTCTGAGAGCTTACATAGAATAAACTTGACATAAGGGGGGGCAGGATATACCTTGGCTGGGAAAGGTAAGTCAAGGATTTGAGTGACACATATTTTTATTTCTCCTGTCCATCTAATCCAGGTGTGGGACTGGATGTCAGCCAGGGCAAGTGTGTGGAGTCAGAAATGGACTAAGAGCTGATTAACTGAAGCTCAGTTCAGTCAAAATGTGAACACTGATGCAGTTGTTTTTTCTGATGCTTTGACCGGAGCTGAATTAGTGTTTAGCCTGCTCTATACAGGACTGTGCCTCCCAAAGGGATCAGTTTCATACTTTCAGAGTGTGAGTTTCAGTTAATAAATAAGTCAATTAAGAAAGCTTTAATGGAGGGGCGTGGAAACTTTGTCCCTCTTCGTATTTTGAATGCAACTTCCACATATCCCTTCCAGTGACCATGATGGATAGGACCTCCGAAATCATCTGGACAGCCAACAGCTATTCACCCTTGTTTTAACCAATTAAGTGATGCAGGCCAATAGTAGTCAGCAACCATTAATTGTTTCCTAAAATTTGTAAGATTTAGTTTGGAGCTAGGTTCTGTATGTAAAGGTCAGTCTCCTTGAGAGCAAAATCCATTGATCTCAAGTGACATACCTATAGTTAGGCTGTTCAAGTATTGCATCATTGCAACATCTGACCATGTATAACAGAGGATGGCATGACATCATATTGTGACATCATTGCACGGATGCGAACAGAAATCATTTAAATCTCCCATGAGAATGACCGGGAGAACATTTCCTTGCCTGAGAACATTTAGTTGGCAAGAAGGCTGTTGTTCATCCCTGGCCACAGGAAGCCATTCCCTTCCATATCTGTCTCACAATCATGCCATAAATACCAGAAATGGCTGAGGCCAGCCAAGATATGAAACATACAGATTGACTCACAGGTGCATTGCTGCCCGAGCAAAAAGCCATGTGCAAAGGGAGTGGCTTAGTGCCATTCTCTGCATCGTATGATGGGCTCAGAGGATAGTTGGCACCTAACCTGTCATGTTAGAGAATAAGTGTCTGGGATGGTGAGTTGAAATGGTAGTTCTTGATAGTTTAATTTGTTTGTGGGAAATATTGCACTCATTTTTGACACTTTAACAGGGATCTCTGTGCCCTAGTCAAGTCTTGTGCTTAGCTGTCCATTGAAGCATAATGATCTAGATATAGCAGGCTTAAAATGACACTGAAATGATGAAGGGGTCTTGTGCACATGACATGGACTGGTCTTTTTCTCGAGATAGCATTGGTAACTTGGAGTCATTAAATCGTTGCTGCTTCCCACACTAGTGCAAGAATATAAGAAGCTGTAGACCAGGGGTGTCCAACCTTTCACCTTCCCTGGGCCACATGAGAAGATGAAAATTTGGTTTGGGCCACACATACATTTGGTTTGGGCCGCATGGGGGGGCAGCCCTAGCCATCCTCCGCAGCCCCGCTCCAAGCACGCTTAACAGCAGCTGCGATCTCAGAGAGCAGAGGCTGCCAGCTTCGACTTCGGCGGCTTTATGGGGCCGGGAGGGGGTCCACCTATTGACGGGGACGGTGCAATGCAGTCACGCAGCCCCCCTGTCCCCTCCCACTCCTTCCTTCCTTCCCTTTCTCCCCCTCTACTGTTGTGACATGCCCCGGCCACATTCCGGCCGCAAGCGCCGACAGTGTAACTTGAAACTTTGGAATTTCTTTAAAAATAAAAAATTGCACTGGGCCACATTATGAGCCGACCTGGGCCGCATGCGGCCCTCGGGCCACAGGTTGGACAAGCCTGCTGTAGACTGAATGTGGAGAGCCTTTGGTCCTTCTCAGGGGTTTTCAGCCATAAGTCCCACAACCTGCTGCCACTGCCCATGCTTGCTTAGTGTGAAGCAATTGTAGGCCAAGGTCCTAGGAAGCCAGAGAATCCCACCTGTGCACATATCTTATTTCATATTCGTGGTATCTCCCTACTCCTGCATTTCCCCTACATGTAGTAGGAAAGATTTTGCCTTTTGCCCTTGGTACTTTCTCTGACTGCTGTCACTTTTTGCCATTATTAGTGGTGGTAGTGGCAGCAGAAGTGCTGGATTCCTCAGTGGTTTAGGTATCTGACTGTAGAGCCAGAAGTTGAGAGTTCAATTCCCCACTGTGCCTCCTTGACAGGTGGTGGACTCAATGATCCATAGGGTCCCTCCAGCTCTGCAGTTCTAAGATTATTATTTATTAGTTCATTTCAATAACCAGATCCAGGTGGTAGTGATTTTATGTTCTCACAACGCCTTCCAGTTTTGCATCATTTGAAAGTGTTATGGGTAAATAAAATAGTGGCTGTCACAAGGGCGTGGTTCTAAACTACCTGTAATAAAGACAAGATCCAATGCCACTTCCAGGCACTAAGGAAGCTGTCTCTGTTGTGTAGAACAGCCACTGATTTTTCAGTCTGCAGGATGGGGAGGTGATAGATGTTCTTTCTAGATGTTCTGCCACATTCTACCCACACTGATGGATGGGAGATACATGTGTGAGTGGGGAAAAAAATAACGGCAATGCCTGCTTCCTTTTCAAAGAAACTGCTATGATTCTGTCACTTGTAGTGCTCTTTTCTAATAACAGTGGACCCAAACACACACAGGAAACAGCTCAGTTGAGGGCTTTTTTTGTGGAAAATTTATAGTGATTAAATGTGGGTACCCATAGCTGTGCCCTCATGGAGATTCTAAAAATACAGCAGGGTGTCATAACGGGCTATGTGTCCCAGAATATCACTGCCCCTGTCCATATCTCTTTGAAAACATTGAAGGATATTGCTGAGGTTGTTTACACCTGCAGACAGGCCCATTTTTGGAAAACATGGTGCTTTCTTCTAAATAGAAAAAGATAGAACAATGTTGAAGAGAAAACAGAGGCCTTTGCTTACATTACTGTGTTATGTAATGTGCTCTCCCATTTCCAGAAAAAATGACCAAAAGGAGAAAGCACGTAGAGTTTTATACTGTATGTATCCACCCATATACATAAATCAAAGATAACTCTTCCAGCTCTAGGTGTCCCTCACTGATTTTTCTATGGCTCTCAGCAATTTACCACTCCCATTGATACACACTGTTAATCCCCCTCGTTTTCCATTCCTAGTCACATGAATTGTGAATTGCCCTCCTTTTATCAAGCCAATATTTTTGTATGTATAGTCACTTGATATAGTGCTGGGCCTGTTCAATCAGTACCTTTCTTGCTATTTGTACTGGT